ATAGTAAAAATGAAGAAAAACCCTTGAATGAGTAGGTGTTCTAAAACTTTTGACCGGTAGTGTAGGTAAAAACATTTTAATTGAACCAGACATATTAGAGTCTTCTGATGACAGTGATAGGGAAGAAACAGCGATCAACACTGTTGTTGTCACAAAAGTTTTAAAATCAGTGGAATGCCCGGTGGAAGCAGAGTATGACTGCAAATGTGGTGGGAGTCGAAAAGAGAACACAGAAAGCTGTTGTATAAAACACCTTTCCACGGATTACATCTTCAAACTAAGGGCAACCATGGCATCCGTGACAGAGAGGGAGAAGCGTCCATTTATGTATACAAGTAAGAGTCTAGCTACATTTTCAGATATTATAAGTTTCTAATTTTGTCAGAAAGTTGTTTTCATTGCAAGTTAAAGCTTACTGTTAGCTAGCTAGCTAAAGTTAGCTGGCTGGCTCGCTATCTAACATTACGTGTATGAGCTGTGTAGTAATATTATTAGTATCTCAGAAATCCATTTGCATTGCTAGTTATAGCCTAATGTTAGCTAGCTAGCTAACATTGAACCTAAACATTGAACCTGACACCTGACAATAGCAATATAAGATCATTATTTTTCATATAGATTATACTTTACAGATTTCACAGGTATGCTTTTCACATAAATTGAATAATTTTATCCACAGAATGTCACAACAAAAATGTCTACTTATCAAAATAATTGTATATTATATTTATCAGATACAAAAGGGACCCAAGCAGCCTTAAAACTGCTATTTCAACCATTGTCCTCTCAATCTGACTCACCTCTGTCAGAATGTCTCAGTACAGCAAGTTTCTCACCATACAGTATTGAGTATAGTTTAGCAGACAAATATCCATAGCGACTTACAGTCAGAGGGGCAGTACATTCAACTAAGGTAGATAAAACAACCAAATTCCACAGTCATTGCAAGTAAAAACATTCCTAATTAAAGCAGCTATCAGCTCAATCAGTGCTAGTAAGAAAAGACAAGTGCTCCCGAGTGGTGCAGTGGTCTAAGGCACTGCATCGCAGTGCTAGCTGTGCCACTAGAGATCCTGGTTTGTATCCAGGCTCTGCTGTAGCCGGCCGCAACCAGGAGACCAATGGGGCGGCGCACAAGTCGTCCAGGGTAGGGGAGGTAATAGCCGGCAGGGAGGTAGCTCAGTTGGTAGAGCATGGTGTTTGCAACACCAGGGTTGTGGGTTCAATTCCCACGGGGGGCCAGTATGAAAATAAAAAAAGAATAATGTATGCACTAACTGTAAGTCGCTCTGGATAAGAGTGTCTGCTAAATGACATAAATGTAAATGCTTAGTGCATGTATTAGTGCTTCCTCTGGCAGGAAATGCATACAGTAATTGCACAGCCATTTTGTAGGAAACAGGGTGATATTTATTCTCCATTCATGCCTGCAACCAAGCAGAGCACACAAACAATGAATTTAAACTGATCAATAAGCTCACAGTTCCACGTCACATCAAGAGCTCACCAGCTTGTAGTCCTAAAACCCAGAAATGAGTTACCTCTGGTTTGTTCAGCCATTCCTATTAATGGGTAAAGAATAGGGTTTTGGGATAAACGTAGAAAATTTGGTCTGAGATTACCACAGGTTTAGGAGATCTTATACGTTTGGTTCTATGAGATAATATCAGTCAGTTAACATGACCTTTATGAATTATGAAGCCTTTATGTGCTTTTTTATATTACATTAATGCTTCAAAATTCACAAAAAGTGATGTTAACTGATGAAGATTATCTCACAGAACAAAACTTATCAAATCTTCTAAGCCTGTGTTTACCACAGACCATATTTTCTGCGTTTATCCAAAAACCGTACGAAAACTCCATTCATTTTCCCATAGGCTTTGTCCAACAAACCATGGCGGAGTTAGTGCCTACAAAAAGACGCCATTACTATTGCTCTCTATAGAGGCACTTCCACCCTATTACACTTTGATAGCAGAGTACCACAGGCGGCCGGTGGATGGGCTCATAGTAATGGCTGGAACAGAATAAATGGAATGATATCGAACACATCAAACACGTTTGTTTTTTTATACCATTCCATTAACTCCATTCCAGCCATTATTATGAGCTGTCCTCCCCTCAGCAGCCTCCTGTGCAGGGTACATATTTATCAGCTTATAGAAGTGACACATTTTACCATGTGTTACATTTGGGCTTGTGGTTTAAAGTTCTCAAAAAGGACAGGATTGAGAATGGTTATGTGTTTGCAAACTAAAGATCCTTTTCTATTCATCAATCTACTTCCACAGGGTAAAATATTTACTGAATAATAAAGCTTCTGTGATGAAGCAATATAAACAGAGTTGTAGGTGTTTGGTTAACGGTTAATGGTTAATGGATATTGATCTTCAGCAGCCTCTAGTGGCTGCTGTGTGATACAACCTTTACTTTCAAATAAATTAATCAAAATGATTTTGTTTAATCACTGTCTGTCTCATTGTCCAGGTACCAGAAATGTTGTTGAGTTGCCCATCAGTCACATCATGCTCTTTATGGCACTGACCATCATGGTTGCCATAGTCACCATTTACACAACCAGGAGGAACCATGTGTGTTGTTTTGTTCTCTGTATAGAAGAAGCATCTGGTATTGAGCTCCAGCCTGGTCCTGGAGGGATGACCCCTAGTTTCTTACTCTTCTCCCTGTGCTGGACTATAGACTTTCAAACTGTCTAAGGCTTTATTGATTGAGTAACAGAGGATATCTTTTTTTATTTTTTTATTTTTTACAGCTGATGTGAATCTATGATAGCACATAGTGTGCTTGAAGATGACTTCATAGTTCTATTCTCATCTTTTAGTATATTTTTCACACACTTTTTTATTGCATGCAGTAGGGATGCAGACATCAATTAAGCAAAGCATGGTTGATGTGTGAATGATATGTTTGGTGTTTATTATGTCCATTGTGATGTGCATGAAGTCAGCATATTCCTTGGTTTTGTTCATTCATATGTTTTTGGGCCTTAGCAGATTTTAAATTAGCACAATACTTTTTCTAAGTATTTTATTGAATCTGTTACTGTTTTAAAATATATTTTGTAACTAATAAAAATACAATATTTCAAACTGTTAGTTACAGGTGTTTTTACTTTACACTTCCACAATGTATGGTAAACCATGCATAATTTACCTTAATTCATTTTTTACAACCTAGCCAGCAGCACAGATAGGCCCAGGCTAGACTACTTTTGTATCCTAGAAACATCAACAAATGACCGTCAGAGATGTTCCGTTATCTACTCTGACTTTCATTGAAAAACTATTCAAATGTAGGGCAATTTGATGAACTTAAAGGTTTAAGTTATTTCCATTGACATTGCAAAGGAATGTAGCCTACACCCCTTCTTCGAAATGACGCTACAGACTGGGCTACTTACTCACTTTATCACCGTTACCTGCAGCTGAGTTTCTCGCCGGGCGCGGTGGCGCGTGCCTGTAATCCAAGTCACTGGGAGGCTGAGGTTGGTGGATCGAATGAGCTGAGGAGCTCTGGGCTGCAGCGCGGTATGTCGAACGGGTGTCCGCACTAAGTTTGGTATCGATATGGTGTTCCTGGGGGAGCCCGGGACCACCAGGTCGTCTAAGGAGGGGTGTACCGGCCCAGATCGGAAACGAAGCAGGTCAAAGCCCCCGTGCCGTCCAGTAGTGGGATAGCGTCTGTGAGTACACGCTGCAGTGCAGCCTTGGCAAGACATCGATACCCAATCTTTTTTATTAGTAAAAAAAAGATCTACTTCACGGTCGGCAGCTGCATTTGCAATACAATACTCACGTGAGTTTCGTGAGTCTCTTCCCCCTACCTCTGCGGAAGAACAGGTCCCGCTCAGCCCAGTCAAAACTTGCGTCACATTGCGACTGCTTTAAACATATATCTTGCAACAGAAATGGTGAGAATTTGAATATCTGATTATTCTACTAACCTCTTTAATATATCAATATAAGATTATAGTCTTAATAGTGAATAGTCTATGGTTCAGGGTCTTGATCTAATGGTTGCATACTCAGTCTGTTGGTCTACCAGTGGGAAGGTTGACCTCAGTATAGGTAATGTCTGTTCTCTGGCCCCACACACACACACACACACACACACACACACACACACACACACACACACACATGATATTCACAATAACATTTCCTGTGTTGACTAGCATCTGATTTTCTGAAACAGAATCTGAGATCGAACGATCGTGAATCCTTAATAAAATACTCATTTCACACCAAAAATAAAGGTTTTCTTTACTATACAACATTATAAATATCTACTAACTGTATGAAGGAAATTAGTTCAGTTCAGATAGAATAGAACCTGACTTCAGAGGGTAATTAAGAGAGTTGTAGATGACTTATGTGCCCTCCTCCTGAAGATGACAACCAGAGCTGCGGCCACACACACAGCCCCACTGACACCCAAATCACCCCCGACTGGTTAAGACCTGATGACACAGAGCACACCTGTGTCACTTGAGATCAGCCTGGCTCACAACAAGGAGGTTGAGTGAAAGAGGGACTGACACACAAATGACACAGTACATAGATGAAGCACAATGAGGTACAGTAGTGAAAGTGTTGCCTTGATGAACAGGGTTTGAATTTTACTTAGTAGATTGTTTCTTACCGTCGTTTTCCTATTTTTCGTCATTACCATAATTATCAGGTTTAATATTACATTCTTGTTCATTTTTTCCAGAGTAGCATAACAAGAATACCACAGGAGGTTGGTGGCACCTTAATTGGGGAGGACGGGCTCGTGGTAATGGCTGGAGCGGAATAAGTGGAATGGTATCAAATACATCAAACACATGGTTTCCATGGTTTCCATGTGTTTGATGCCATTACATTCGCTCCGTTACAGCCATTATTATGAGTCGTCCTCCCTCAGCAGCCCCCTGTGAAGAATACGTACCTGAGAATGTAGAGGTGAAGTCAATGGAGTTCTTCACTTTTCCCTTGTCAGTCAGCTGACACATCCACTTCCTGTTGTTGTCCTCCCTCTGGAGTGTCACAGAGTGAGGTCACAGCGAAACCCTCTGACCTGGTATCTGGAGTCTCCCTGCAGCTCACTACCTGTCATCCTCCCAGCTAAGACTAACTGCATGGTCAATGAGTGAGATACTTGTTCCAAGTCCATCAAATGTGTGCTGAGAGCAACTTAAAGTTACTGATCTGTCTCTGGTGTGGATGAGGAGACTGGGAGAGACAGAAGAAAAATACAATATTGTGGTAGTTGTACATTTATTGTGTACTACTGTATTGTATATGTTGTATAACTAAGACAACTTTTCGCTCTTGACTTTACTGTAAACAGAAAAACTCACTGGTGAGAATAGACATATAGGTATCATTATCTGTCTCAAATGGGGTTATGTTGTTTACTCAACAGGTGTAGAGTCCAGCATCTTCAGCTGTGACACTTTGAAGATATAGAGACTGAGCCTTCACACTCAGTCTCTCAGTTCTCTGTGAGTTATGTCTCACCTCCCCCTTAGAGAAAACTGCAATAGCATTCCCAATCCCAGCTCTGGAGTAAATCCATGTAGTTGAGGAGCAGTCTTCTGGATCAGCCGTATTGTGACAAGGTAGATGGACATCAACCCCCACATTGACATATTGAGAGAGTTTGTTTCCACTCACACCTAGAAAGTAAGACAAAGTTAATCCATGTAACACAGCATAATAATTACTCAAATAATTTCATAAAGATTGGATCCATTATAAGTGGTAAATATTCACTGAGTGTACAAAACATTAAGAACACTTTCCTACTATTGAGTTGCACCTAGGGCTGTAGAGGTCATGACATATTGTCAGCCGTTGATTGTCAAGCAAATACCTTCTGGTCTCACAGTAATTTACCGTTAATTAACATAAACACATTTAGCATCTCCTGGCTTCCATGCATAGCCTACAAGCCACTGATGCAGACCTTTGGAACATCTACATGTTAAAAAGTCTAATAAATCCATTGAATATAGCCTGCACCATCACAATAAATCCATTATTTATTTTAGACAGGTCTAAAGAAACACTATATGAAGAAAATGTAGTCTATTTCAGAAGAACAGAATAGCATACTCTGAGTGGTCCTTATGTTAGGCCCTGATTTGGCTATGCCATATAAGCATATGGCTGTGGGCTACACTAGTTATTTGCTTAGAATTCCATGGCATTATTTTATATTATTTTATAGTATGAAGAATACAATTGAACATAGCTGAATAAAATAGAAAGGATGTTTTCTCCAAACGATTTCTGAGGGAGTGCACACATGCAGCTATTCTGTGTTGAGCGGTTAACAAAGGAACAGGTCCTCCTATATGCTTAATTTAGAGTTATTTATGCAACTTTAGTTGTGATACACGTGGCTCTCTCAGATATGACAATTCTTATTAGCCAATGCCCGTCAGGTGATCGGGTTCTTCTCACAGGCATCTATCTAAGCTCTGAAGTAGGCTACAAGTGAAGAGAGACACATCAGGGACGCAACCGCGGCGTCCTTCTTATCGATTTCCGAGGCACATATTGAAGATGTTAGCAGAACTGTCCACATTTACTATTCTTCAGCCAGCAAGATGAGTAGGCCAAACAAACAGCAAAAGCACTAGCCTATGTCAATCTACAATCCCCCATAGTACAAACGTTGAGCTATTCTATTGGTCAACTTGTCCTTCTGTGCGAGTAATAAATATTCCAAACATAGTCTGGGACAGTTGTGTGATAAGATAGATCCCAAATTATTACAACCGCTCGCATCAAAAAACGTTTTAAAAGCAATGAGGCTGAAAACACCATTCTCAAAAGTGACCACAAATGCGATTATGCATGTAATGCTTTATTATAAAGGTGCATTTTTATGGTGGAAATGATCTTCCCCATACTTGAAACTCACGCGCTGCGTATGTATGCCAGTTAGGCTCTACACCGGTTGTAAAGTGGATTAATGTGCTTAATTTTAAGAAGTTATTTGGCCACTTTAGTTGTGATACAAACCTTATCAAAACATGAAGTGCATTCGGAAAGTATTCAGACCCCTTGACTTTTTCCACATTTTGTTACGTTACAGCCTTATTCTAAAATGGATTAAATAAATAAAAGTCCTAATGAATTTACACACAATACAGCATAATGACAAAGTGAAAACTGTTTTTTTGACATTTTTGCAAATGTAAAAAATATATATATACAGTGAGGGAAAAAAGTATTTGATCCCCTGCTGATTTTGTACGTTTGCCCACTGACAAATAAATGATCTGTCTATAATTGTAATGGTAGGTTTATTTGAACAGTGAGAGACAGAATAACAACAACAAAAATCCAGAAAAACGCATGTCACAAATGTTATAAATTGATTTGCATTTTAATGAGGGAAATAAGTATTTGACCCCCTCTCAATCAGAAAGATTTCTGGCTCCCAGGTGTCTTTTATACAGGTAACGAGCTGAGATTAGGAGCACACTCTTAAAGGGAGTGCTCCTAATCTCAGTTTGTTCATTTCTCTTTTCCTCCTCTTTTTTCCTTTGTTTTTTTCTCTTGTTTTTTTTTTTTTTTTTTTTTTTTTTTTTTTTTTTTTTTTTTTTTTTTTCTCGGTTGATTAACCCCAAACCCTGACCGATTAGGAGCACTCCCTCTTATTGATTTGTGTGCTCATCCATCTCGGCCCTCTTTTGCTTACAATTGGTTATTTAAATAGTACCCTGGGAGCCAGAAATATTTCTGCTGATTTGACCCCTTTGAGGGGTCCCTGTCCAAATACTTATTCCCTCATTACCATGACCATTGTATATCAATTTCTTATTATAGTGTTGTGACTATGCGTTTTTTTTCTGGCATTTTTTTTGTTGCACAGACATATATCTGTTTCCCACCAATTAAACCTACCATTACATTTATTATAGTATATATGTATGTATATGGTGTATTTTTTTGTTTGGTGAAGTGGGCAACCAAACGTACAAAATCAGCAGGGGATCAAATACTTTTTTCCCTCACTGTATATATATATTTTTGACATTTGCAAAAATGTCAAAAAAACAGTTTTCACTTTGTCATTATGCTGTATTGTGTGTAAATTCATTAGGACTTTTATTTATTTAATCCATTTTAGAATAAGGCTGTAACGTAACAAATGTGGAAAAAGTCAAGGGGTCTGAATACTTTCCGAATGCACTTCATGTTTTGATAAGGTTTAGTATCACAACTAAAGTGGCCAAATAACTTCTTAAAATTAAGCACATTAATCCACTTTACAACCGGTGTAGAGCCTAACTGGCATACATACGCAGCGCGTGAGTTTCAAGTATGGGGAAGATAATTTCCACCATAAAAATGCACCTTTATAATAAAGCATTACATGCATAATCGCATTTGTGGTCACTTTTGAGAATGGTGTTTTCAGCCTCATTGCTTTTAAATCGTTTTTTGATGCGAGCGGTTGTAATAATTTGGGATCTATCTTATCACACAACTGTCCCAGACTATGTTTGGAATATTTATTACTCGCACAGAAGGACAAGTTGACCAATAGAATAGGTCAACGTTTGTACTATGGGGGATTGTAGATTGACATAGGCTAGTGCTTTTGCTGTTTGTTTGGCCTACTCATCTTGCTGGCTGAAGAATAGTAAATGTGGACAGTTCTGCTAACATCTTCAATATGTCCCTCGGAAATCGATAAGAAGGACGCCGCGGTTGCGTCCCTGATGTGTCTCTCTTCACTTGTAGCCTACTTCAGAGCTTAGATAGATGCCTGTGAGAAGAACCCGATCACCTGACGGGCATTGGCTAATAAGAATTGTCATATCTGAGAGAGCCACGTGTATCACAACTAAAGTTGCATAAATAACTCTAAATTAAGCATATAGGAGGACCTGTTCCTTTGTTAACCGCTCAACACAGAATAGCTGCATGTGTGCACTCCCTCAGAAATCGTTTGGAGAAAACATCCTTTCTATTTTATTCAGCTATGTTCAATTGTATTCTTCATACTATAAAATAATATAAAATAATGCCATGGAATTCTAAGCAAATAACTAGTGTAGCCCACAGCCATATGGCATAGCCAAATCAGGGCCTAAAATAAGGACCACTCAGAGTATGCTATTCTGTTCTTCTGAAATAGACTACATTTTCTTCATATAGTGTTTCTTTAGACCTGTCTAAAATAAATGATGGATTTATTGTGATGGTGCAGGCTATATTCAATGGATTTATTAGACTTTTTAACATGTAGATGTTCCAAAGGTCTGCATCAGTGGCTTGTAGGCTATGCATGGAAGCCAGGAGATGCTAAATGTGTTTATGTTAATTAACGGTAAATTACTGTGAGACCGGAAGGTATTTGCTTGACAATCAACGGCTGACAATATGTCATGACCTCCACAGCCCTAGGTGCAACTCAATAGTAGGAAAGTGTTCTTAATGTTTTGTACACTCAGTGAATATTTACCACTTATAATGGATCCAATCTTTATGAAATTATTTGAGAAATTATTATGCTGTGTTACATGGATTAACTTTGTCTTACTTTCTAGGTGTGAGTGGAAACAAACTCTCTCAATATGTCAATGTGGGGGTTGATGTCCATCTACCTTGTCACAATACGGCTGATCCAGAAGACTGCTCCTCAACTACATGGCTTTACTCCAGAGCTGGGATTGGGAATGCTATTGCAGTTTTCTCTAAGGGGGAGGTGAGACATAACTCACAGAGAACTGAGAGACTGAGTGTGAAGGCTCAGTCTCTATATCTTCAAAGTGTCACAGCTGAAGATGCTGGACTCTACACCTGTTGAGTAAACAACAGAACCCCATTTGAGACAGATAATGATACCTATTTGTCTATTCTCACCAGTGAGTTTTTCTGTTTACAGTAAAGTCAAGAGCGAAAAGTTGTCTTAGTTATACAACATATACAATACAGTAGTACACAATAAATGTACAACTACCACAATATTGTATTTTTCTTCTGTCTCTCCCAGTCTCCTCATCCACACCAGAGACAGATCAGTAACTTTAAGTTGCTCTCAGCACACATTTGATGGACTTGGAACAAGTATCTCACTCATTGACCATGCAGTTAGTCTTAGCTGGGAGGATGACAGGTAGTGAGCTGCAGGGAGACTCCAGATACCAGGTCAGAGGGTTTCGCTGTGACCTCACTCTGTGACACTCCAGAGGGAGGACAACAACAGGAAGTGGATGTGTCAGCTGACTGACAAGGGAAAAGTGAAGAACTCCATTGACTTCACCTCTACATTCTCAGGTACGTATTCTTCACAGGGGGCTGCTGAGGGAGGACGACTCATAATAATGGCTGTAACGGAGCGAATGTAATGGCATCAAACACATGGAAACCATGTGTTTGATGTATTTGATACCATTCCACTTATTCCGCTCCAGCCATTACCACGAGCCCGTCCTCCCCAATTAAGGTGCCACCAACCTCCTGTGGTATTCTTGTTATGCTACTCTGGAAAAAATGAACAAGAATGTAATATTAAACCTGATAATTATGGTAATGATGAAAAATAGGAAAACGACGGTAAGAAACAATCTACTAAGTAAAATTCAAACCCTGTTCATCAAGGCAACACTTTCACTACTGTACCTCATTGTGCTTCATCTATGTACTGTGTCATTTGTGTGTCAGTCCCTCTTTCACTCAACCTCCTTGTTGTGAGCCAGGCTGATCTCAAGTGACACAGGTGTGCTCTGTGTCATCAGGTCTTAACCAGTCGGGGGTGATTTGGGTGTCAGTGGGGCTGTGTGTGTGGCCGCAGCTCTGGTTGTCATCTTCAGGAGGAGGGCACATAAGTCATCTACAACTCTCTTAATTACCCTCTGAAGTCAGGTTCTATTCTATCTGAACTGAACTAATTTCCTTCATACAGTTAGTAGATATGTATAATGTTGTATAGTAAAGAAAACCTTTATTTTTGGTGTGAAATTAGTATTTTATTAAGGATTCACGAACGTTCGATCTCAGATTCTGTTTCAGAAAATCAGATGCTAGTCAACACAGGAAATGTTATTGTGAATATCATGTGTGTGTGTGTGTGTGTGTGTGTGTGTGTGTGTGTGTGTGTGTGTGTGTGTGTGTGTGTGGGGGGGGGGGGGGGGGGGGGCCAGAGAACAGACATTACCTATACTGAGGTCAACCTTCCCACTGGTAGACCAACAGACTGAGTATGCAACCATTAGATCAAGACCCTGAACCATAGACTATTCACTATTAAGACTATAATCTTATATTGATATATTAAAGAGGTTAGTAGAATAATCAGATATTCAAATTCTCACCATTTCTGTTGCAAGATATATGTTTAAAGCAGTCGCAATGTGACGCAAGTTTTGACTGGGCTGAGCGGGACCTGTTCTTCCGCAGAGGTAGGGGGAAGAGACTCACGAAACTCACGTGAGTATTGTATTGCAAATGCAGCTGCCGACCGTGAAGTAGATCTTTTTTTTACTAATAAAAAAGATTGGGTATCGATGTCTTGCCAAGGCTGCACTGCAGCGTGTACTCACAGACGCTATCCCACTACTGGACGGCACGGGGGCTTTGACCTGCTTCGTTTCCGATCTGGGCCGGTACACCCCTCCTTAGACGACCTGGTGGTCCCGGGCTCCCCCAGGAACACCATATCGATACCAAACTTAGTGCGGACACCCGTTCGACATACCGCGCTGCAGCCCAGAGCTCCTCAGCTCATTCGATCCACCAACCTCAGCCTCCCAGTGACTTGGATTACAGGCACGCGCCACCGCGCCCGGCGAGAAACTCAGCTGCAGGTAACGGTGATAAAGTGAGTAAGTAGCCCAGTCTGTAGCGTCATTTCGAAGAAGGGGTGTAGGCTACATTCCTTTGCAATGTCAATGGAAATAACTTAAACCTTTAAGTTCATCAAATTGCCCTACATTTGAATAGTTTTTCAATGAAAGTCAGAGTAGATAACGGAACATCTCTGACGGTCATTTGTTGATGTTTCTAGGATACAAAAGTAGTCTAGCCTGGGCCTATCTGTGCTGCTGGCTAGGTTGTAAAAAATGAATTAAGGTAAATTATGCATGGTTTACCATACATTGTGGAAGTGTAAAGTAAAAACACCTGTAACTAACAGTTTGAAATATTGTATTTTTATTAGTTACAAAATATATTTTAAAACAGTAACAGATTCAATAAAATACTTAGAAAAAGTATTGTGCTAATTTAAAATCTGCTAAGGCCCAAAAACATATGAATGAACAAAACCAAGGAATATGCTGACTTCATGCACATCACAATGGACATAATAAACACCAAACATATCATTCACACATCAACCATGCTTTGCTTAATTGATGTCTGCATCCCTACTGCATGCAATAAAAAAGTGTGTGAAAAATATACTAAAAGATGAGAATAGAACTATGAAGTCATCTTCAAGCACACTATGTGCTATCATAGATTCACATCAGCTGTAATAAATAAATAAATAAAAAAGATATCCTCTGTTACTCAATCAATAAAGCCTTAGACAGTTTGAAAGTCTATAGTCCAGCACAGGGAGAAGAGTAAAAAACTTGGGGTCATCCCTCCAGGACCAGGCTGGAGCTCAATACCAGATGCTTCTTCTATACAGAGAACAAAACAACACACATGGTTCCTCCTGGTTGTGTAAATGGTGACTATGGCAACCATGATGGTCAGTGCCATAAAGAGCATGATGTGACTGATGGGCAACTCAACAACATTGCTGGTACCTGGACAATGAGACAGACAGTGATTAAACAAAATCATTTTGATTAATTTATTTGAAAGTAAAGGTTGTATCACACAGCAGCCACTAGAGGCTGCTGAAGATCAATATCCATTAACCATTAACCGTTAACCAAACACCTACAACTCTGTTTATATTGCTTCATCACAGAAGCTTTATTATTCAGTAAATATTTTACCCTGTGGAAGTAGATTGATAAATAGAAAAGGATCTTTAGTTTGCAAACACATAACCATTCTCAATCCTGTCCTTTTTGAGAACTTTAAACCACAAGCCCAAATGTAACACATGGTAAAATGTGTCACTTCTATAAGCTGATAAATATGTACCCTGCACAGGAGGCTGCTGAGGGGAGGACAGCTCATAATAATGGCTGGAATGGAGTTAATGGAATGGTATAAAAAAACAAACGTGTTTGATGTGTTCGATATCATTCCATTTATTCTGTTCCAGCCATTACTATGAGCCCATCCACCGGCCGCCTGTGGTACTCTGCTATCAAAGTGTAATAGGGTGGAAGTGCCTCTATAGAGAGCAATAGTAATGGCGTCTTTTTGTAGGCACTAACTCCGCCATGGTTTGTTGGACAAAGCCTATGGGAAAATGAATGGAGTTTTTGTAAGGTTTTTGGATAAACGCAGAAAATATGGTCTGTGGTAAACACAGCCTTAGAAGATTTGATAAGTTTTGTTCTGTGAGATAATCTTCATCAATTAACATCACTTTTTGTGAATTTTGAAGCATTAATGTAATATAAAAAAGCACATAAAGGCTTCATAATTCATAAAGGTCATGTTAACTGACTGATATTATCTCATAGAACCAAACGTATAAGATCTCCTAAACCTGTGGTAATCTCAGACCAAATTTTCTACGTTTATCCCAAAACCCTATTCTTTACCCATTAATAGGAATGGCTGAACGAACCAGAGGTAACTCATTTCTGGGTTTTAGGACTACAAGCTGGTGAGCTCTTGATGTGACGTGGAACTGTGAGCTTATTGATCAGTTTAAATTCATTGTTTGTGTGCTCTGCTTGGTTGCAGGCATGAATGGAGAATAAATATCACCCTGTTTCCTACAAAATGGCTGTGCAATTAATGTATGCATTTCCTGCCAGAGGAAGCACTAATACATGCACTAAGCATTTACGTCATTTAGCAGACGCTCTTATCCAGAGCGACTTACAGTTAGTGCATACATTATTCTTTTTTTATTTTCATACTGGCCCCCCGTGGGAATTGAACCCACAACCCTGGTGTTGCAAACACCATGCTCTACCAACTGAGCTACCTCCCTGCCGGCTATTACCTCCCCTACCTTGGACGACTTGTGCGCCGCCCCATTGGTCTCCTGGTTGCGGCCGGCTACAGCAGAGCCTGGATACGAACCAGGATCTCTAGTGGCACAGCTAGCACTGCGATGCAGTGCCTTAGACCACTGCGCCACTCGGGAGCACTTGTCTTTTCTTACTAGCACTGATTGAGCTGATAGCTGCTTTAATTAGGAATGTTTTTACTTGCAATGACTGTGGAATTTGGTTGTTTTATCTACCTTAGTTGAATGTACTGCCCCTCTGACTGTAAGTCGCTATGGATATTTGTCTGCTAAACTATACTCAATACTGTATGGTGAGAAACTTGCTGTACTGAGACATTCTGACAGAGGTGAGTCAGATTGAGAGGACAATGGTTGAAATAGCAGTTTTAAGGCTGCTTGGGTCCCTTTTGTATCTGATAAATATAATATACATTTTGAAATCTGTCAAGTATAATCTATATGAAAAAATAATGATGTTATATTGCTATTGTCAGGTGTCAGGTTCAATGTTCAGGTTCAATGTAAGCTAGCTAGCTAACATTAGGCTATAACTATCAATGCAAATGGATTTCTGAGATACTAATAATATTACTACACAGCTCATACACGTAATGTTAGATAGCGAGCCAGCCAGCTAACGTTAGCTAGCTAGTAAGCTTTAACTTGCAATGAAAACAACTTTCTGACAAAATTAGAAACTTATAATATCTGAAAATGTAGCTAGACTCTTACTTGTATACATAAATGGACGCTTCTCCCTCTCTGTCACGGATGCCATGGTTGCCCTTAGTTTGAAGATGTAATCCGTGGAAAGGTGTTTTATACAACAGCTTTCTGTGTTCTCTTTTCGACTCCCACCGCATTTGCAGTCATACTCTGCTTCCACCGGGCATTCCACTGATTTTAAAACTTTTGTGACAACAACAGTGTTGATCGCTGTTTCTTCCCTATCACTGTCATCAGAAGACTCTAATATGTCTGGTTCAATGAAAATGTTTTTACCTACACTACCGGTCAAAAGTTTTAGAACACCTACTCATTCAAGGGTTTTTCTTCATTTTTACTATTTTCTACTTTGTAGAATAATAGTGAAGACATCAAAACTATGAAATAACATATATGGAGTCATGTAGTAACCAAAAAAGTGTAAAACAAATGAAAATATATTTTATATTTGAGATTCTTCAAATAGCCACCCTTTACCTTGATGACAGCTTTGCACACTCTTGACATTCTCTCAACCAGCTACACCTGGAATGCTTTTCCAACAGTCTTGAAGGAGTTCCCACATATGCTGAGCACTCGGGGGATTGTGGAGGCCAGGTCACTCTGGGTCTTCCATTCCTGTGGCGGTCCTCATGAGAGCCAGTTTCATAATAGCGCTTGATGGTTTTTGCGACTGCGCTTGAAGAAACATTATAAGTTATTGAAATGTTCCGTATTGACTGACCTTCATGTCTTAAAGTAAAGTCTCTTTGCTTATTTGAGCTGTTGTTGCCATAATATGGACTTGGTCCTTTACCAAATAGGGCTATCTTCTATATACCCCCCCCCACAACTGATTGGCTCAAACGCATTAAGAAGGAAAGAAATTCCACAAATTAACCTTTAAGAAGGCACACCTGTTAATTGAAATGAATTCCAGGTGACTACCTCATGAAGCTGGTTGAGAGAATGCCAAGAGTGTACAAAGCCGTCATCAAGGCAAAGGGTGGCTATTTGAAGAATCTCAAATATAAAATATATTTTGATTTGTTGAACACTTTTTTGGTTACTACATGATTCCATATGTGATATTTCACAGTATTGATGTCTTCACTATTATTCTACAATGTAGAAAATAGTAAAAATAAAGAAAAACCCTTGAATGAGTAGGTGTTCTAAAACTTATGACCGGTAGTGTAAATCAGGAATTTCTTCATCGTCTGATTCATTTTCGGAGTCAGAGAGAGTCAGAATGGCACAATCATCCTCCAGAAAGTAGTCCATCACAACTTTTTCCCACATATCTTTGTCGATAGCGCCTGCTAATCTCTGTGCAGCAATGTATCTTTCAAAAAAGCTGATGTAGAAAGGATGATCTACACATTCTGAGCAGCTCATGTTATAGACATACCTATTCGAACTCATCTCTCGGCATATCCAGCCCATCCATTATCTCAGCCAATCATGGCTAGTGGGAAGGTTTCTGTCTTTTTCCGTGGCTAAACCAACTAGGCTCGTAATTTAACAATTGTATTTGTATTTACAGATGGCATACAAGTTTGTTATTAAGGCACATGAAAGTCCACATGTTCCAGAAGGCATTTTGGCCAAAAAACACATTTTGATTTAAATAAAAGAAAATAAATTACGTTCAAATGCCTCACCTGTTAAGTAGTGACGTGCACGTATGCCTAGCTTCCTGGAATGGGTCACAAATACACATTATTGCATGAGACAAGCTATACATCTTCACTTGTTTTTTTTTACTAGATCCTGTGCATTGTTTCTATTTTAATTTGATTTATGTAGGGTCTAAATGCAGGAAACCACTCCAACCTACCAGCCAATGAGGACATGGTCAGTGCATCAAAATATGATGACATTTCTTTCATTATATTTACTCATATGAATCATGATTAAATCCAGCTGTTATCAAACAATGGGATTAATGTCCGGTTTAAAGGCTTCATCTGTCATTTTGTCCAACTCCTCTTTGCAGATCTTCTCCAAGTCATTAAGGTGTCGAGGCTGACGTTTGGCAACTCAAACCTTCAGCTCCCTCCACAGATTTTCTATGGGATTAAGGTCTGGAGACTGGCTAGGTCACTCCAGGACCTTAATGTGCTTCTTCTTGAGCCACTCCTTTGTGGCCTTGGCCGTGTGTTTTGGGTCATTGTCATGCTGGAATACCCACCCACGACCCATTTTCAATGCCCTGGCTGAGGGAAGGAGGTTCTCACCCAAGATTTGACGGTACATGGCCCCGTCCATCGTTCCTTTGATGCGGTGAAGTTGTCCT